GACGCGGTGGGTGGTGCGGCCCTGGAAATTGGCCGTTTGTAGGCCTTGGGGAGTGCGCGCGATCGTCCGGTGGGCGGTCTTCTTGCGCGGCGGTTGCGGCGCCTGGTTGCGCGGGTTCTTCTGCGCCTTCTTCTGCCCACCTTTCTTCGGCGGTGCCCTCCGCTTGATGGGCTTGCATGATGTCGATTTGGCCCGGTTGGGCTGCTGGTTTCGTTGGCCTGTGCGCGCGGGCCTGTTAGCTGCCACATGCAGCAGCGTATGGTGCGCTAAGCCACAGGTCTTGCAACTACCCGGCGAGTCGCATTCCCCGGTAGTGTGGGTGAGCGCAAGGCAGTTGACGCAGTAGCCTTGCGCGCGGGCTACTCCCATCCGTTGCGGCGGCTTCATCGCCTTGAAGGCCGGGCACGTCCGCAATGCGTGGTAACGGTGGCAGAGCCGGCATTGTAGGCAGTTGTCTGTCTCTGCCGTTGGAACCAGGGGGCACGCCTTCCGTGCTGCCATGATGTCTTCGATCTGGAAGTAGAAGCAAAGGCAGAGAAGCGAGAAGTACTTGTGTACAATGTTTAAACGGGAAGTTAAGACCCTTAATATACAGAAGGAAAATATGTATAGAATTATCTATTGTGCTTTTGGAAGGAAGCACAGTTTGACAAGTGGCCGCGTGATAACTCCATTTTGTGTACGGACTTCCACGACACGTATGTGGTTATCAGGGCCATGGCGAACGTTTTCGATTCGTCCCAATCGCCACTCGGTGGGGGGGAGTGAATCTTCTTTTATCACGATGATGTCGCCTGGCTGAGGATCGCTTTGTGGGGTTTTCCACTTGTATCTCTTCTGAAGATCTTTGAGGTAATCTTCTTTCCAGCGGCGACTAAATTGGTGGTGAAGTGCTTTGACTTTCTCCCACCGGTTTAGTAGAGAGAGGTTTTCCGCATTAGACTCGGGAATGGCCAACAGCGGTGCACCTCGAAGGAAGTGACCCGGAGTAAGTGCTGTCATATCAGCTGGGTCTTGCGAAAGTGCGGATAGAGGCCTCGAGTTGAGGACTGCTTCAATTCGCACCAGAAGCGTCGTGAATTCTTCGAAAGTGAACTTGTGGGTTGCAGCGGTTTTCTTTAAATGGATTTTAAAGCTTTTCACTGCAGATTCCCACAAGCCGCCCATGTGGGGGGCGCTGGGTGGTATATATTGCCAGTTGATGCCTTGAGGGGCATATTTTTTGACAATGTCTGCGGAACATTCGTTAAGGAATTTAACGAAGTCGCGTTCTGTTGCGCGCTGGGCGCCAATGAACGTTTTTCCATTGTCGCTCATCATTTTTGAGGGAAAACCTCGTCTGCCAACGAAGCGGGCGAATGCTGCTCGAAAAGCCTCGGTTGTAAGATCCGAGCATAGCTCGAGATGCACTGCCTTTGTGGAAAAGCAGACAAAAACTGCAACGTATCCCTTGATAAGGGTTGTAGATCTTAGCACCGATGCTTTAATGTGGAATGGCCCAGCAAAATATACTCCCGTTGTGGAAAATGGGAGTGAGAAACTGCAGCGCTCAGGGGGTAGAGCGGCCATTATTTGGGTGCGTGTTTGTTGCTTGTACAGCGTGCACACTTTGCATTGAAAGATGCATTTTTTAATTAGAGGTTTCAGCTTTGGTACGTAGTACTCTTGCCTTACCATTTGGAGCATTAATCGTGTTTCTGCGTGAAGAAGCAGCGAGTGTAAAAACTCCAAATATAGCTGGCAGAACCTCGATTCGGTAGGGAGAATTATTGGGTGCCTTTCATTATAGCTTAATGTGGAATGTGCTAATCGGCCATTAGCCCGTAAAAGTCCGTCTTTGTCCAACGAAGGATTGAGAACAATAAGAGGACTTTTTTTGTTAAGTGGCTTTTTATCTTGCAAAGCGCTTTTTTCGCTCGGAAAATGGCGTGATTGCGCTGCGTTGATAAGATGAATTTTTGAATATTGAAATTCGTTATGTGTCAGATGTGGATAGGTGATTGTGGCTACCCCCTTTGATTTGTTGCGGGCATTGCTCACGAAGCGGAACATGTACGCAGTCACGCGGAGTGCTCGAGAGAAAGAAGAAAAGCGATCAAGAAAATCGACCTCTTCTGCGAGCGCGTGATATGCCTCCACCTTGCGCTTTTCTGGTGGAGATGCACTGCATGCCTTTGACCTTGGCCATGCATCCATGTGGCAAGAGAGCCATGTTGGTCCGTACCACCAGAGTGGGGAATTCGCCAAATCCTGCGGTTTGCATCCACGGGTGCCGAGGTCGGCTGGATTATCTTGGCTGGAAACATGGCGCCATGCACCGGTTGGAAGATATTCCCGGATTTGAGAGGTACGATTGGATACATACGTCTTCCATGTACATGGTGGCTTTTCAAGCCAAGCTAGCACAATCTCTGAATCTGACCATAAGAATATGTTGCACGATTCCAATTTGAGCTGTTTTCGAACAGTTGCGACCAGTTTTGCGAGTAAGACTGCACCACACAGCTCCAGGCGTGGCAAGCTTACCGTCTTCAATGGTGCGACTTTGCTTTTTGCAACCAAGAGAGTGGAATATCTTTGGTTGCTAGCATCTGCCCGGATGTAAATCGCAGCGCAATATGCTTTTTCTGAGGCATCACAAAACCCGTGGATTTGGGTATTTTGCCCCGGAGTGAAATTAACCCATCGAGGGATTTCGATGTGGCAGATGGCTGGCAGATTTTCTGCGAACTGTTGCCATTTTGCCAAGGATATAGGTTTGGCACATTCGTCCCAATCAACGCCATCTAGCCAAAGTTCTTGAAGAAGAATCTTAGCTTGAATCATCACTGGCGATAGCCATCCTGCCGGGTCAAAAAGTTTTGCGACAGAAGATAAAATTTGTCGCTTTGTGACGGCATTCGATGTCGATTTATCTGTGAGTGCGTTCCATTGTATACCAAGAGTTTTGGTTGTGGAAGCGCTCTCAAATTTCAAAAAGTTGGAGTCGAGAAGATCCTCTTTTGGAAATTTTTCTAAGATGGCCGGATGATTGGCCGTTAGTTTCTTGAGTATGAAACCAGCTGACTTAAGCGCTTTGATCACTTGAAGAAGTGATTCAGTGGCGTTGTCAATATCATGACTTCCGGATAGGATGTCATCCACATACGTTTCGGTTTTAAGTATTGCGGCAGCCAAGGGAAATGTCGCTATCGTATCATCTGCTAATTGATGCAGGGTACGGATAGCGAGGTATGGTGCACAATTAACCCCGAACGTTACGGTTTTAAGATTATAATCGGTGACAGGAGAGTCAGCCGATGTGCGAAATAAGATTCGCTGAAAATCTTTATCGTCCTCATGGATGAGTATTTGACGATACATTTTTTCAATGTCGCCATTGAACACGAATCTGTGCATTCGCCACTGCAGAATGAGCAGCATGAGATCTGGCTGGAGTGTGGGACCAGTGTGCAACACGTCATTCAGGGATTTTCCTGAACCAGATGTTTTTGAGGCGTTGAATACCACGCGAACTTTGGTGGTTACCTTATCTGGTTTGACGACCGCATGGTGTGGCAAGTAGAATGAGAAGTATTTGCCATTAGCTACTATCTCACATGGCTTCGTGTGCTCCATATGACCGAGGTCGAGATATTCTTGCAACACATTGTTATACATTGTGCCTAAGTCTCCTTTTTTCTGAAGCGATCGCTCCATGCCAAAAAACTGCTGAAGTGCAGCAGACCGAGAGTGGCCCAGAGACAGCTTTTTTGGAAATTCTTCCTTGAATGGAAGTCGCACAATGTATCGACCGTTTGGGGCACGAGTCGTTGTTGTTGCATATATATGCTCACAAGCCTGATCTTCAGGGGAAATTTGTGGAGGTTGTGGAATCTCCTCCTCTTCCCAAAACTTTCGAAGCTGAGAGCTGAGAGTTGCATTCGAGCACTCTTCTACTTGTGTCGAGAATGACACCACATTTTCGGTTATTGGACCACTGAGAATCCAGCCAAATATTGTTTTTTGCGCAAGTATAGTGTCGCAAATATTTTGTATACCTTCCAGCAGGATTTGTGGAAGTATATCGCTGCCGATTACCATGTCAGTTTGAACTGGTATGTGACAGCTTGGGTCAGCAAGTTCAAGGATCTTGAATTGCTGCCAGTTTTCACGGCTAATGGTGAATGTAGGCATGTGCCTCGTGAGCTGAGGTAACACGATAGCCTGTGTGTTTATCCGTTGCATGGTTTTTGGTGCTACCAATGTGAGTGGACAAAGCTTTGAGGAGCTTTGTACTACATGTCCACCCATGCCGGAAATTTCGAACTTGGAATGTTCGAATGGTAGTTTCAACCGTTTTTGAACTTTCGAGGAAATGAAAGTTCTTTGTGAGCCTTGATCAATCAGGGCTCTAAGTTGAAACAATTCACCCTCGTGTTCAACTGCGACTATGGCAGTTGGAAGGAGAATTTTGCTATCATTGTCGGTGTGCAATGATTGTATTTGTGCTTGTTTGGAACAGCACGGTTGCTCGCTGGAATCGGAGCTTGACTGCGCTTGTCGAGCGGGAGGTGTCGACTGGGCAGTAGTGTGTTGTGCGGCGGTTTCATTCGCTCGCGCACTGGAGTGTCGAGATTGTGGTTTGGGATTCATGTGCAGCAGGGAGTGATGCCGTTGTTGGCAATGTGTACATGACCACTTGCTCGGACACTCATTAGTGCTATGGGAATTACCAAGGCAGTTTTTGCACAGCTTGGTTTGGTTTGCGAATTGTACTCGGTTCGGTACCGAAATTCGCTTAAATTGTGGGCAGACTCTAATGGGATGAGGGGACTTGCAGTAAGAGCAAGTTGGTTCCCTCTTAGGTTCTGCCACAAAGGTTTGAGTCCTGTTAAAGGACCTGTTTTGCGCAGCATTTTGATGAGCGACTGGTTTTTGTTTATTTTGGCTTGGATGAAGCCGGTTAAGTCTTTCGACTACTTCGTATCTTGAAGTAAGAAAATCGTCCATTTGTGACCATGAGGGTAAATCTCTTCGAGAAGAGATTGTTCCCAAAGTGACAGTGTGGTTTCGGGCAATTTGGATGAGCAAATGTACACCAATATGGGATCCCAACTGTCTGTCTGGACGTCTTGGGAATTAAGAACTGACAGACAGTTGTTAATTGATGTTTGCAGCCTTTGAAGTTGCTCGCTATTCTCGGATTGAATAGTCGGCAAGGTCATCAAAATTTTAATTTGGTTGTCAACCAAGATACGTTTGTTTTCGTATCGTGACCGTAAAGCTTCCCAGGCCAGCTCGAAGTTATCATCGCTGAGCGGGTATTGCTTGACGATGGAACCGGCTTTTCCTTGAGTTTTGTACCGGAGGTGATACAGTTTTTGAGCACGGGAGAGCTTCGGGTGGTTGATGTACACCGCTGTGAACATGTCACGAAAAGCGGGCCATTCTTCGTAACCACCGTAAAATGTCTCCGTGTCACAAGGTGGGACTTGAAGAAAAACGTTTGCCTCTGCCGAGGTGTGTTCCACGTGGGGGGGTGGACTCGGTGCGGCGATTGCTTTAATCAACGACAGTTGATCGGCAATTTTAGCTTTGGTCACCTCATATAATTCAAGGCAAGTGAAGTACTTGCCTTCTACCGAACTCTTAAAGTTTTCGGGTAGGCTGTCATCTGGCTTTGAAAAAACCAAATCATAGGCGGACTGAAGCCGTGCCCAACAATCATCTAGTGATTTGTCTTTTATCATAAGATATGATTCAGTGTGGTCTTGGATCGGTGCATCACTGAATCTTGCACAGTATCTCATGATACTGTCACTTTCCGCTATAAACTTTTGAGCGGATGGGTCAAAGGTTTTAGGTTTCGGGCGCGGTGAGGGTTCCCTCTTACCACCGGTGGCTTCTTGCGAAGCAGTTTTTGACCTTGTCTCGATTTCAGACATTTTTGGTGGACTGTGTCCAAGTGGCATTTTTAATGCTGTGGAAGGTCACACGTATAAAAATTGAGAGAAAAATGTATCAAATTTTACTGAGTACCACCCAGATAACGTTCGCAAAAATTAGAAAAATATATGTCAAACGAGTAAAAATTGCACTTTGTGCCACAGAAAATCAGGAAAAGAATTTTAAGATTTTGTGGCGGTGTTTGTGTTTTTTGTTTCTTGCAAATTACGTGAAATTATATTTGCTTTAATTTTTGGTTCAGCACTTTTTATTACGTGGAAAACGGAGCGCCCCAATTAAATCCGCGGAATATGGATTTGAAAAATTTCAGTACGAGAAAAAAAAATCACAAACACTTTTCACTTTTATATACGTGGTGAAATATACGTATGTATAAATATTTAATGTGAATAATTATGTAAATACTGAATAAGTAGTGGGTATTTATCACTATTTAGACCAATGCAATTCGGGAGCTTTCCCTACTGGGTTGCATGTATCTGATATCTTGAACTCACTTCTTATCGCGTTATGGATAATATTCGTGTGACAATATTCTTTGTTAGCACGTATGTACAAAAGTGCAGAATATGTAGAATGTAAAAATGTACGTACGTATGTATGTACAAATATTTACGTATGAAGCCGAGTATATGGCTAAGCTATGCTTTGTCACAGCAGTGGTGAGTTAAGAAACGAAAACAACAGAGAATTTGTTTTGATTATAGTGCGTATGTATGTATGTGTGCGGGAATGCACAAGTGGATATAATAATACGTAAAGAGCCGCTCACCGCTGAGAGAGCGGGCTTTGATTTACGTTCTCTTAGCTTGGTGAGTGCAGCAGAGAAAAGCAAGATTGAAATAAATTAAAATAAGCTAGAGTGCGCTTGGTACGTGTGGACTGTATTGTTCGATAAATAGCAGCGACTCTCTTAGCTATTATACGAATAGTTGCAGAAAATGCAACTGGTAAAAATGTTTATATGTGCTAACGTATGTACATATGATATATGGGAAATAGTGCACTTATGTTTTTCGGCAATTTGTTTAGCCAAGTTCAACGAACTATGCGACCAACGGCAAAAATTGGTAAGCAGAGGAAAGTATGTGATTTTAATGTGCTAATATTTTGTTCTTGCACAGTGGGACACAGTAGGCATATAAACTGCAACGGAATTTATTTTGGGGTATATATCAGAATTTGTATATATGTACATATACCTACATATATATATATATAATTTCATAAAAGGCGTATTTATTCTCGCCAAAAACGGTTTCACTAAAATTGCGGATATTTTCTTGCCGCCCAAAAATCTCACATCGGCAATTTGCCGCTATTGAATTTTGGTAGAAACATTCCGTTTTCCGGAAAGCGGTATATCTCCACTTACTCCGGCTCGAAGGACCATGAATACTTCCAATGGTTGCCTTTCGCACTCACCTTGCACACACACAGTTTCTTTCCGCTTTAAGGAAATACGTTGGTTTTCAATTTTTAATTTTACAAACTTCCGCTCGGTTTATTCAAGTGTTAAAAAGATGACACCGTTAAAAGGATTTTTTAAAATGCTGATATTAAGGGGGCGCGTGCGCGTTGTCCGACTTGAGTAGCTGAACTGGTTTGTGCAGATTTTCGCACGACGACTGGGAGGCGGCCGTGCGCGCTCGGTAATTATTTTCGGAGTCGCGTCGACTCCACTGCCGCCAAAGTGCGCGCGCACGGCCGCTGAACTCGGCTTAAGCGGTGGCTTAGACAGTCTTTTTAACAGCAATTCGAATCGTCGTATAATTCCACCGTGTGGGCCAGTGTTTGTTGGCTCACCGTCCGCATATTCCAATTAATGCATCCAGTGATATATTTTTATCGTTGAAAAAAACCATTTAATTTGGTTGTTTTGTATTCAGCGGTTTCATGTTCTTTTACCATCCTAATATAATAAAGTATCATCTTTTCTGCCATCGAATGAAAACGCTAACAAATTGGTATCATCTAACCGTTTGCGAAGCACTTCTTGTCTGCATTTCTCTTTTTCTCTGCGAACTTTCGATTTATCCATGAGGAGAGGTTTCCCATGCTTATCTTTAATTTTAAAATCTTGCAAAAGAGCGGTTCCCAATGCTGATGCTACTCTGTCAGGCACACCAAATCTGTCACATACCAAGGCAAAGTTAAAACAATCGTATCTCTCTGTGTATTGTGAACTTGTGCTTCTATCCATATCTTCTTGAACCGGTGGCGGTGCGTATGTTGAATCATCGGGATCTTGGTATGTTGGCATTGATGACATAGACGTTGCTCCTTGCTCTTCAGTTTCCAACACAAATGCATCCATTGTTAGTCTTCTCTGATTATGTTGATCGTGCATGAACTCTTTGAGGCGTTCGGGAACCCAGCCGCATGCACATGGAGCTACCTTCAAATCGCATTTACATGTTCCAATGTAAAAAATTGTTTCCAGAGATTTTACATACTCTGTAAATTGTTGGGTGTTGTTTCTTCTCTTGATTTGCTCTTGATACTTGTCAAGCAATTTATTCAATTTATTAAATACACTTTTTTTCAGCATTATTTCCATACCAAGTTTTTCCCAAATTCCAATCAACTTATCTTGTACTTGAATAGTGAATGATTTATGGGAAAACTTTTTTTGTTCTGTTTTAATACGTTCGCTTAAGTAAAAATAATATCTCAAGATATCCAGGTGGGTTGGTAAATTAAGATCAGTTAAATCAGTAGACACACCAAAAACAGTAACATCATGCTTGGGTATATGACTCATTGGGTTTTCGATAGTTGTTGATGTAGCTGCTTCATCTTGCGGTGTAGAGGATGGTGGATTCATTGTAAACTTTTTGAATTGGAATGGTCACTTCACTTATTATTTTTTTTGAAATATTTTATTATCTGAAATTAGCACTTCACACTTTGAGTTCTTCACAACGACTTAATGCATTCACAAAAACTGTTGCGTTATATATGGTCTACGAGACGAGGTAATAAGAATGAAATGGTAATTTCAATTCTACCTGCTGTGTCTTGTGGTGGCTTAAAAAAAAACAACTCAAGCAATTTTACGATATGCAATTGTGTCACAGTGATACCTTCATTGTCTAAAAGGGTTGCGGTGCATTTCAGTGATACCTTAATTGTTAAAATGATTGCAAAAAACGCGCATTTCTTAAGAAGGTGCCTTAAAATACCCACAAAAAGGGTTGTAAAAACAACCTTCATTTCTTAAGTAGGTGCTATAAAAAAACTACACAAGTAAGTTTACGACATGCAGCTGTGTCTTAAAAAACGCACACAAGCAATTTTCCGATTTGCAATTGTGTCACAGTGATACCTTCATTTTTTAAAACGGTTGAATAAAAAACCCACACAACTATGTTTACGACATGCAAATGCATCACAGTGATGCCTTGGTTTTAAAAGGGCTGTAAAAACGCTAATTTCTAATAATTTTTTTTAATTTCTTTTCTATTACTAAGTTAAATTCATTTTTTCATTTACATATGTTCTGACTAAATAAATTTCTAAAGAGAAAAATAAACTCCAAAAAGAAAAAACATAGGCATTTCGCTGATTTTTTCATGTAAAGTGCAAAACCGGCGATTTTTTGAAATGTTTGTATGGTGAACCCCCAAAGGGGTTCCAGGGGGTGTGCCACTGGCATCGGTGGGTCGGGCCTCCAAAGTTAGTGG